AAGGAAGCACTAACCTTGTTACCCACTGATATGGAAAAAAAAAAGACAAAAACAATGGGGTACCGCTGATTAAACACTAAAAGGTATATAGCATCGTTTTAAACTAGAATAATTGTTTTGTAATTATTTGTTTTGTAATTAAGCACAAACTACACTATGGGCTGTCTGTGCTCTGCCCACCACGGGTATCGAAACCCGGATTCTAGCTTTGTAAGTCCGCAGACATACCACTGCGCCACTGGGGGGGGGCAACTAGAATAAAAAATTAAACTATTGCAAAGGAGAAAAAAGAACAACAAAAAAAAAACACTTGAAAAGTAAGTAAACATTATTAAAATTATCCAACATGTTTATTAGAATTTATATTAAACTATTTCTTGTAGAATATTTTAAATATTTACAAACCATCGACTAGCTTTTGAAGATTTTGTTTGCTGGTTGTTAAGCACAAAGCTACACAATGGGCTATCTGTACTGTGCCCACCGCGAGTATCGAAGACATATTTGTTGTGTTGTAAGCTCTCAGACTTTCCGCTGAACCACCAGGAGGAGAGGTTTGGTTTGTTTTGAATTTCGCGCAAAGCTACATGAGGGCTATCTGCGCTAGCCGTCCCTAATTTAGCAGTGCAAGACTAGAGGGAAGGCAGCTTGTCATCAACACTCACCGCCAACTCTTGGACTACTCATTTACCAACGAATAGTGGGATTGACCGTCATATTATAATGTCCCTACGGCTGAAAGGGGCGAACATGTTTGGTGAAACAGGGATTCGAATCTACGACCCTCAGATTGCGAGTCAAGCGCCCTAGCAGCCTGGCCAGGGGGAGGAGGAGGGGAAAGATTTGTTTATTTGTATGTAATTAGGCACAAAGCTACATAATGTGCTCTCTGTGTTCTGATCATCATGGGTATTGATACCCGGTTTTTAGCGTTGTAAGTCCGCAGACAGACCGCAGTGACACTGGGGGAGTAGGGGAAAGGCAAAAGTAAGGCTCATAGATTTATTATAGCACTGAATTGGGAGTATTAAAGTATGAATTTACACCTTGTTCCTGTGGTATGTGAAAAAAAGATCAATAACATACAATTTGTTTGTTTCTTTATAGCTAAGCACAAAGCTGCACGATGGGCTATCTGTGTTCTGCCCAGCACGGGTATCCAAACCCGGTTTCTAGCGTTGTAACCCCAAAGATATACCGCTGTGCCACTGGGAGGCCAATAACATACAAAAATTTTCATTAGGCCTAACGTTTACCCATATTAATAAAAAAAAACATCAAATGTTCTTGATCTAAGTTTGAAAATGCTAATAAAAATATTAAATACCTATAAAACAACAATTTACACTCTGTCAATCAATTTGACTTAATGTTTTACAGCTTTTGAACCAATTTTGATAATGAGATTTGTATTTATTTATTTAAAAAGGTCATTATATTTTTCTATAAAAATACAGCTTTCGGGGTAGAAAACTAAGTAACAAGAAAGGCAGCAAGAAAGAAAATTACCAGTAAAAATCTTGCATAGAAATTCTTAGGATGAAAATTCCAATATAATAAAAATTATTGTTTATATTTATAAAATAAACTTTTTTCAATACATATCTTATAAAAATCAATATCTCTTGGCCCTTCGTCCTCAAGCCAGTTAAAAGAAAAATATTGCTTAAAATTTGTCACGTACTAAAATTCGCTGAATTTTTAGGTTGACAATTAACGCAAAGAAACTATTACATACAAAAAGTTAGTTACGGCTTGCAAGAAATATCTTGATTGTTGCAGAAGAACTATTCCTAATTCTCAAATAATGTTTACACAGAGATTACAAGACTTGATCTAGCCAACAAACGTTTTTTAGCTATAATTAATTTATTTTTCTAATGAATCCAAAAGACAAAAAATACTTCGAATCTTCTCGAATAATCTGGTTTTTCAAGAACACCAGCCCAGCTCTTAAGAGATCAAAATCTTAAACATAAACTATATTAAATCCAGTAACAAAATTAAGCAATCTATATTTTGGTCTAAGTCTGTAAAAGTTATTTTAGAACTTTGGGTCTTTCCTCATTGAATATTTTATATGAAGTTAAACACCTTTACTATTATTTGTTGGTTATTAAACTAATATCAATAAATATTTTTATTTTACTTGCTGTAAACTAAACTGTAAGATATACACAAATCACATGCTCATTTGTTAAATATATTTCTCTGAATTATAATAAAGTTTTCAAAATTTCTAACAATACATAACTAAGTTTCTAACAAAGAGTTATATATCGTATAATTGTTTTGATATCATTGAATGTCTTCTTGTGAAAACATAATGACGTCTGTAAATAGGCTTGAAAATAATGTAACAAGTTTCTAAAAATATTGTAATTTTGAATTAGCTATCTTAATCCTGTACTAGGTATTAGTTGGTATTGGTTTTGTTTTCATTTGTTGTTTGGTTATTTACTGTTTAGCGAAAACGATGAGACGAGATCTACTCATATTTGGTATTTTAGAACTTGTCATAATGTATTTTATTGCTGGTCGGGTTCTTTTGGATTCTTTGGTAAAATATAATGCCAATTACAGTCCAAGTAACGATAACAAATTAATTTATTTCTTCAACAAGTGAATAACGTTTGTTACAGGCTACGTTTACATGTAGGCCTAACATCAAATACAACAGTTCAAAAAACTGTTACGACAGCGGAAGTCACGCGACGCTGGGAACATGCGCGCTGGAGTTTCTAGAAGGATCATGACTTATCGAGAAACCTCGCGAATGTCCGAGTGTTTGCCAGGCGCCCTCTTTTTTTAGTATATAAGCCCGGCAAATAAAGCCAGCGATAGATAGATATGCAGATAGATTGAAGATATAGATAATTGAGTCAAGCGAACAGTAGGCACCGTAAGTAAAGTGTGTGAACCACTGTAATCTATAGCGTGTGTTATAAAGGTTGTTAAGTTTAAAGTGACTGTGGAAATTATGTGTATTACAAAGGTGTATCGAGAAAGAATAAGCTAGTTTTAATTAAGATAGGACTTGTATCGCTGAAGTTCCTCGGAAATAATTTATACCGGAAATTAAGGAAATTAACAAACGAGCAGATACGTAACAAAACGTACGCCTAACTCAGAAATGCAAAAACTTATTCTTGCAGATTTCCAAGCACAGATGCAATAACTCTCACTATCTAACTAGCACTAACTAACTCCGTCATTAACTCATTGAATACATCACTGATTCTCGAATTTATATCATACTCGTTTTGTATTTATTACACGACATTTCGATTTCATAAAGTCATTATCATTACGTAATGACGAGCTTCTTCTAGCAAACAAACATCTAAATTAAAATATTAAAATATAGCTTACAACAATACTGATATTCGTGATTTAACAGCTATTATCATATAAAATTTCCAGTTTATCCGTTAAAACTGAAGTTAGTTACACAATGAATGTTATTTTTAATTTAATTTTGCAATCGCCCCCAGCGGCATGATTGCAGACTTACAACGCTAGAAACCGGGTTTCAATATCCGTGGTGGGCAGAGCACAGATAGCCCTTCATGTAGCTTTGTGCTTAACTAAAAAAACAAATAAAACCTGTCCACAATTTTCCTGTTAAGTAGACTAGTGCGAGAGAGCTCAATGTAATAATAAGTTAAGGCATTTGTTTGTTTGAATTTCTTAGGAGAGCCACCTATCAACATAACTACCAACGTGTCTTGGAATGTTTAGATATATCAATGTCATTGAATACATCCAAACCAATGCTTCAACTGAAGTTAACAGCCTTACTGTCTACCGATCTACTGGTAAGTAAAACACGAAGAATTGACAGTTATATTATAGTATCCTAGAGCATGTTATAATCTGTACGCTCAATCTGCTTTCAGTTGACAAATTATCATCACATTGAAGCTGTATCTGATTGGCTTTTCGTTCTTAAAAATATACATTATTGATTTGAAATTCTGTTCATGGTTAATAACATCAAATAACCCGTGTAGAAAATAAAGAAGATTCAGCGCGCCACCGCTGGCAGAAAAACACATTCTTTGCCACACATGCCATTGGTACGTAGAGATAAAGCGGAATAAGTTTATTTGTAAAACGTACTCTCATGTGATAGTTAAGTCCAACATATTTCTTTCGTAATGGATAGCGTGTTCTAAAGACCCAAATCCACAGTCTGGTTGATGATTCTGAAGTGTTTTACATTTCGATAGTAATCATTAAATTAAATCACAAATCTGTTTCCCATCTTTTTACCAACTCATTGTATGATCAACATTGAGGCTAAAAATGTCATTCTTAGGAAGGAAAAAATATTGTTTTATACTGATTCAATATGGTTCCTTTATTTTTAAAAATATGGTTGTTCTAACAGTGATTAAGTATGGTTCCTTTATTTAAAAAAATATGGTTGTTCTTATATTGGCTCAGTATTGTTTATTTATTTGAAAAATATGGTTGTTCTTATTAGGTTAAATATGGTCCCTATTTTAAAAAAGAACTGCTTTGCGCTAATACAGTATAGCTTCTTTATTTAAAAGATGAGGGCATTTTTCTACTGCTATGATATGGTTACTTTATTTGCAGGCCCCAGCAGTATTTTTTTTTATCTGCGTACTAGATGTACTGCAGGGTGGGTCCCCGAAAGTGTTCTATTTCAAGAATAAATAAAACCAAAATTAAGAGTAACTAATATTTTTATTTCTTGCGTTTGAAGTTCATATGTCATGCTGTGTTGTAGCCTCCAGAGTGTATACTTTTCTCGTGATTCATGGCATGTACTTATTTTATTGATGTCACAACAGTACAAAGTGAAACGTTAAGCGTCCCTTATGTGACGTCATTTTAGTGTCTACTTACTGACTGACAGACAACTACTGTAGAGGTGGGATTGGTTAAAACAGGTGAATTGTAAGAAAATTTCTATTGAAGAGAAAGTTTTATATTTATTTCTTCTTACATATGCACAGGCTAAATAAGCAGTTAGTTTTCAGGAAAATTAAATCACAACGGATAAAATACACTCACCATGACTGTTTGTATATCCATTGTAAACAAAACACAAAGGTGCAAGTTGGTATGTAAATGCTTTCAGTTTAAATAAGAACGAATGCAAATAAAACTTTGTATAACTTTCATTCAGGTTAATATCGGAAATTTGTTTGCTGGCTCCAGAGACCAAGTCAGACTGGTGGAGGATATTTCCAGGTGTTTACAAGGAACCTGCTCCGAGGTATCGAATAATCTATCTGTTCTTTGTTGCTATTGGCGCTTCCTGTAATGCACCTGCAGAGATTATATTAGTATGTTGAAACGAATAACCGTTTCAACATGTACAACACTATCAGCATTTCAATGATTTTGATCACAACACTTATGTGATGACCGAGCTTTCTTCCTCTCTGTACTTTTCTTATTTCATTTAATTTATCGCTTTTATTTTTTAGTTATGCAAGTTAATTTTTATCTCAGTGGATGTTCTATAGAATATCAACATTCCAATAATTCATGTTATTTATAAGTATATGGTAAACAAGTATATCAGTTAACTGCATGCTTTACGTGCAAAGGGTAGTTAGTTGAATACCTTATCATTCATGCATTTCGTCAGATGCGTTTGAGTTTATCCACTGGGGGTTACTTTGTAAAAAGCAATAATTGTGGCTTTCTTAATTTCGTTTACATGTAGCTGCCTACTCTTTGGTTGTCAAACGCTCTATGGTAAATATTGTATGTTCGTAAGCAAATATACTATGAATTAAGAATAAATCAAAGTAATAAATTAAAATTCCTATACATAGAATGTGGTACTTGTAGACTGTCTTATTATGAAAATGAGAACAACCAATTGTATACATACTGCAGCATTCATGAGGCTTGACTGCAATGGTAAGCAGCCATCATGAATTTGACAACGTATTTAGATACGCTTAGTTCTTATACACAAATAATAAGCAGCATATGTGTTATGTTAGTCATGTCGAGTCTGAGAACTTACAATTTTATGGATGATGTTTCTTAATCATCTTCACTATTTAATAACTTTAAAACTATAGTGGAACTCTAAAATCGCCAATATTATTTTAAGTTTTTTTTATTTATTTGTAAATAATGAAATTAAATCTTCGCTAAACGTTTTTAGTTTGCTTAAAGCCTAGTATTATACGAGATTTTTTTTCATATTATTTTAAAACTCAACTTGGTAAGAGAACACATTATGAGTGATGTAAGACTTGAAATCTTTCATGGACTTGTAATTATTATACAGACAAAGTTGTTATTACATATCAACAAATGGTTATATCTCATGCAGGTTCTGGAATTTAAGATTTTAAATCCAGAAGCTCGACTAGAACTGCAAGTGTTGATGGAAAGACTGAGACAAATAGGACAAGTACGTCGTTTATTTTTTATCTTTAATAATATTTATTGATCATAGCAACCCTAAGAACAGACGAATAGAAACCTAAACTATTAATTAAATAATTAGTTTATATCTGGTTGAAAAAAAGTCACAAGAATATACCGCTTTTAGGAAAGTTATTAAACTGCACATAGCTTTATCCCAAAATTAGAAATTCCTATTTAAGAATGGAAACATTCGAAACAAAAATAGATAATTAAGTAACTGGTGAAACTTCATAAAGTATTTTTTTCATATCCAAGAGGATTTAGAACTTGCATTAAAAGTTAATTTTTTGTTTAACATTAAATGACACCATTAATTAACTGAAACCTGTAATATTTTCTATGTCAAGGGAAATAATTTAAATGTAAATATAAGTCTATTTATATTTCACTAGAACTTATAAATGCCTTTCTCTTGGTTGAACAGCTTGAAAGGAGCAATGCCGAACATACAGTGTGTGCGAAAAAAAAGTATTATATTTTACTTCGTTGTTAATTTTTTACGGTGTTCATTATCGCATATCACAATTTAGTTAAACCATTGCCACCTATTTTCCTTTTATACAATTAGTAGTTAGTAAATATTTCGGAACTCTAATAAAAGATCATTCGGTTTACGTTTAAACGCTTCTAATTTTTTATATGATAAAATCTAAAACAGAGTGTAACTCTAGTGTTCTTTACATAAATGTTACATAGAGAGACGCAAACCACGTACATTGTAATTAACGTTTATTAACTAAAATTTATTTTTACATAAAAATTAACTATCCAGCTTACACTCTATACAAGAGTTAGTAACATTCTCTGATTAATAATGCACTAACAAGTAATAATCAGTATACAGAACGCCCTTCAGTACAGTTGCTAACAGTTCACAGACTGTTTAACATTTAGTGATATTCTCTGATTATTAACACACAACAAGTAATAATCAGTATACAGAACGCCCTTCAGTACAGTTGCTAACAGTTCACAGACTGTATAACATTTAGTAATATTCTCTGATTATTAACACACTAACAAATAATAATCAGTGTACAGAACGCCCTTCAGTACAGTAGCTAACAGTTCACAGACTGTATAACATTTAGTGATATTCTATGATTATTAACACACTAACAAGTAATAATCAGTATACAGAACGCCCTTCAGTACAGTTGCTAACAGTTCACAGACTGTATAACATTTAGTGATATTCTCTGATTATTAACACACTAACAAGTTATAATCAGTATACAGAACGCCCTTCAGTACAGTTGCTAACAGTTCACAGACTGTATAACATTTAGTGATATTCTCTGATTATTAACACACTAACAAGTAACAATCAGTGTTGTTGCTAACAGTTTTTATTCCTTTAGACGGCGAGAGACAAAGGAGTCAGAATATTGGTAGATGCAGAACACACCTATGAAAATCTGGGCCTCAGTTTGTTAACTCTAGCTATGATGGCTGCTTACAATAGTACAACTTCCATAGTGTGGAACACATACCAATGTTACCTGAAGGTAAGTTCAGAAGAAAAAGGGTTAACACGCGTTATTTTAAAGAGAAATGAAGTTAAGTATTCGTAAGCCTATGACGAATCAACTACGTGTATATATTCGTATACGACAGATATATGACTAACTGACAGGTAAACTTTTGATAGCAGAAATATATATCATAAAAACAACAATGATAGAGAAGTTTCTGATTAAAACTGTCGCACTGAGTTTTTCCATCGTTTACGAAGCACGGTTATTACACGGTTTGAGAAAGTTTTCAAAAATGACTTTTTTTCCTAAAGAAATATTAACTTTTTTTCTGATTTGTATTATAATATTGCTAGCAAAAACTTGCAAAACATATGCGGTGAAATTAGTATCATTATTGTAACAATATTTCTTTAAATAAAGGATTTCTAGAATAATACAAAATAATTCTAAACGCAGACACCGAAATCTATTAGTCCACTTGTCTTAGGCCTAACATTAGTTAATCCTTTATTAAAGTACGGCCTATAATCGATACAGAGATAAATTAACACTGTAACTTGTGTACGTTTTTTGCTTTAGTTTAGTTTGGGCTAAACTTTACCGTACTTAATATTATCAATAAATAAACTTACAATGTTATTCTACGATCTACCGTTAGACCTTTTTTTAAAATGTTGATAAGCTATTAATATGTTGTTGTACAAAATGTTTACTAAACTAAAATATATTTACATCCGCTGAAATGACAGACAAAAACTGAGTGTTATTATAATAATAGCATTGTTTTCTTAATTTCGTTTTATTATTGCACTGTTTTTATGAGTGCAGAGAATATAAATCAAGTCAGGTGCTAATAAATACCAGTAAATTATTCGTAAGAAATGAATACATTAATAAATGTGACGCCCACTCCCACCACACACACACACTCCCGGTGGGTCAGCGATATTTATGAATTTATGAGGGCTCATAATGCTAAAATTCGGTTTTCAATTCCCAAGGGAAGCAGAACACATGTAGACCATTGTGTAGGTTTGCGCTTTACAACAAATAGTAAGTGTGACATCATAATCAATATGAACTTGTAGCAACCTAGGTGCTTCTTTGAGCTAAAGATAATTAAAAGTAGTGTCATAAATTAAAATACGTAAATTGTGTGTAACTGGGAAAAGAGAGACAGCAGAATAGGAGTTGTAACGAGGAAGAGAGCTCAAGCAGGGCAAGACGGTATGTTGAGGTTACAAATGATAAAATGTGAAGCAACATGCTAAGGTGATAGTATATATATATATATATGTGTGTGTGTGTACATGCATGCATGTTTCTCGGTCGATATTCAGATCTTGTACACCTGTGAGGGTCAGGTACGTTTTCCCTCTTCCTCCCCCTGGTAGATATAAACATTAGCCAAACGAGGCGCTATGTTGAGGTTACACGTAATAAAATCTGAAGCAACATGCTAAGGTGATAGTATATATATCCTTCTCGGTCGATATTTAGGTCTTGTAGACCTGTGAGGGTCAGGTAAGTTTTACCACTTCCTCCCCCTGGTAGATATAAACATTAGCCAAACGAGGCGCTATATACTAAACTAAATATACTATGGCGAATTGTGTAGGCATAGCTGACTGTAGAACAGTTTATATACATAGAATTCTTAGAGTCTGTGAAAACGTGCAAGATGTGAATTAACTATTGGTTTTATAAACTAAAAATAGACAAAGTCAGTTAAAAATATATAAGGTTGCCAAGAATAACTAAGATATTGCCCAAGAGGTTATTCATTTAATATCAGAACTCATTAATTGGGCTGAACGATACAAGACAAAAGATAGATCTTAAATACTATTTTTTACATTTCTGATTTGAAATTCGAAATGGGCAAATTAAAGGGAATGTGGAGTGGGGTATCTGCAATTTTAGTGATTTTTATCACGAATATTAAACTTCTGAGAGTTTTAAGCGAACAGTACCAGAACTACCATTTTCTGAGATACAAAGAGAGTAGATTTGGTTTATAACATTCCAAAGCAAATTTATAGTATTTGGAATTTGTTGCATGATTATTCTCCCCGAAAAGCCAGCAGAAATAAAAAATTGACGTTAGAAGTAAACTCTTCAGCAGTGTTTTGTTTCTGCACATCATTGTCCCGCCTATTATTGTTTTTAATGTGCTGACATCG